AGGCCAAAATTCTCAATAAAATCCTAGCAAACATCAAAAATATAATCTACCACAACCAGATGTGCTTCATCCCAGACATGCAAGGATGGTTCAACATAAGCAAATCTATAAATGTAAATTTCCACATAAATAGAAAAACAAAGACCATATGATCTTTTCAATAGAGAAAAAGCATGTAACAAAATTCAATGCTTTTTTATTGTAAGAACTCCTAACAGTATAGGCACTGATGGTACATACCCTGAAACTATGAAAGCCATATATGAACAAACCCACAGCCAACATCATAATGAATGGTGAAAAACTGAGAGCACTCTCGCTTGAACTGGAACCAGACAAGTCTGTCCCACTATCTCTAAGAAGATTTCAAATTATCACTCTTGGCTGATGATATGATCTTCTATATAGAAAACCCCAACTATTCTGTCAAGAGACTCCTGGAATAAATACATAAATCATCAGAGCCCCAGGTTACATAATGAATGTACACAAATCAGTAGCATTGCTATATGCCAATAGCAGTCGAGCTGAGAGTCAAATCAAAGATTCAATAACTTTCACAATAGCAACAAAGAAAACAAAATACCTAATATATTTAACCAAAGAGGTGAAAAACCTCTACAGGGAGAACTACAAAAAGCTGAGGAAGAAATCTGAAGAGGATTTAAACTGAAAAACATAATATGCTCGAGGACTGGCATAATCAACACTCTTAAAATGTCTATGCCATCCAAAGTATTTGCAGATTCAAGTCAATCCCCATTAAAATGCCAACTTTATTTTTCACATACCGAGAAACAGTTATTCTACATTTCGTAAGGAAGCAGAAAAGACCCCATATAGCCCAAATAACCTTAAGCAAAAAGAATGAATTGTGAGGTGTTAATTTCCCAGACATCAAGCTATACCAAAAGTCTACAGTGACAAAAGCAGCATGGCACTGGGACATGAAAAGAGACATAGACCAATGGACCAGAACAGACAACCCACATATAAAACCATTCACCTGCAACCAATTCAAAAGAATCGCTTGAGTCCAAGAGTCTGAGGTTGGACAGCAACCTCTACTGAGGGCAACAAAGTGAGACTGTCTAAAACAAACAAAAAAAAGAATCCCTAGTCAATAAATGGTTCTGGAAAATTGGATAGCCTCATGTGGAAGACTGAAACAGGATCCATTCTTCACAAAAATTAACTCATGATAGATAAAAGACTTAAACCTAAGGTATGAAACAATAAGAATTCTAGAAGATGATGCTGGAGAAACTCTTATAGACATCAGCTTGGGTGAGGAATTCATGAAGAAGACCCCAAAATCAATCATAGCAACATTGAAAAATAAATACATGGGACCTTATTAAATTAAAAGGCTTCTGCACGGCCAAGGAAACAATCAATAGAGCAAACAGATAACTTACACAATGGGAGAAAATATTTGCATACCATACCTCTGATACAGGGATAACAAGAATCTATAAAGAACTCAACTAAACCAGCAAGAAAAAGATTAAATAAATCCATTAAAAAATAGGCAAAAGAAATGAACAGAAACTTTTCCAAAGAAAACAGACAAATGGCCAATAAACATATAAGAAAGTGCTTGACATCTGTAATCACATAAAACCAAATCAAAACCACACTGAGATATCACCTAACTCCAGGGACAATGGCTGTTATTGAAAAGTCCCAAAACAGCAAATGCTGGCCTGGATGTGGAGACCTAGGAACATTTACACACTGCTGGTGGGACTGCAAACTAGTACAACCTCTATGTAAACTAGTATGGAGATTCCTAAAGAATTAAAAGTAGACCTAGAATTCAACCCAGCAATACTACTATGGGGTAATTACCCAAAAGAAAAAAAGACATTTTATAAAAAGGACATCTGTACTCAAATGTTTCTTGCAGGATGACTCACAATTACAAACATGTGAAAACAACTCAAGAGCTCATCTATATATGAATAGATTAATAAAATGTCATATACGTACACCATGGAGTACTACTCAGCCATAAAAAGTGAACTAATACCTTCTGTATTAACCTGGATGGAAACCATTTTTTCACGTGAAGTATCACAAGAATGAAAAAGCAAATACCACATGTATTCACTGTCAAAATGGAACTAGCTGATCACTTATATGTACATAAGGAAATAACACCCATCGGAAAGCAAGCAGGTGGGAGGCAGGAGGATGTGATAGGTAAATTACACCTAACAGGTACAATCCACGTTGTCTGTGTTATGGGCATACTTATGACTGTATAAAAGCAACTTATATAACCAAAACATTTGTACTCCCATAATATTCTTAAATTTAAAAGAAAAGAATAAAAAGAAATACACTCAAGAGTAGTTAACCTGCTACATAAGCAGACTGGACTGGAGGCTTGTTCACTGAAAAGAGTAAGAAGAGGAGGAGATTGGATTGGGGGCACCAGATACAGTGGGGCACACAGAAATAAAACAGAAGCTTAGGTGGCACCCATAGCTCAGGGGGTAGGGCACCAGCCACATACACCAAGGGTGGCAGGTTTGAACCTGGCCCAGGCCAGCTAAAACAACGACAACTGTAACAACAACAAAAAAAATAGCCGGCATTGTGGCAGGCACCTATAGTCCCAGCTCCTTGGGAGTCTGAGGCAAGAGACTTGCTTCAGCCCAAGAGTTTGAGGTTGCTGTAAGCTGTGACGCCATGCCACTTTACAAAGGGTGACATAGTGAAACTCTGTCTCCAAAAAAAAATAACAACCAAAAAACAGAAGCTTATATACTAAATGTTGAGGGTCCCCAGACCTTTCTTTCACTTGGCTCCCAAAACATCAAGGGTCAGGCATATACCTCCCAAGCAGAGACCTGGCAGTTCTCTGAAAAATCTCCCTGGTTGCAAATTCCACACACAATTAAAAAGCTACCCATGGGCTTTTTACTGCTCGACTCTTACAGAAGAGCAGATGGTCAAGAATGAGGCATGTGAGGACATTTGCTAACACAGAAGGGGAAAACAAAAACAAATTGATTAAAAGATAACCTTTTTATTAAATCTGAAAGAAGTAAGTTATTCAGAAGGATGAAAAAAAATGTATTCATGAGAGAATAGAAACCAATCAAAACAAGAACTCTAAGAATGAAAAATACAAAGTCAAAGTGAGAAAAAAAACTCCACAGAAGAGATGGATAATAAGACAGGGAAGATCTCTAATGAGCAGTCAAAACACAAAGACAGAAAATAGGAGGAAAGGTAAGGAAATGGGAAAGACGACATTATTTCTAGCGGAGGGGAGAATATCATCCAATAATTCATGAAACCGTCTCCAAATTAAAGGATCTGAATTCACAGACTGAAAGGGTCCAACAGGTACACAGCATAATGTATAAAAATAGGTCTACCAGAAGGCACATTATCCTGGAAATTTCAGAAAAAGAAAAGATCCTATAAGCTTCCTGAGAAAAACAAGATCACAGGGAAAGAATCAAGAATCTAGGTAAGCGTCTGATTTCTCAATAGCAGTATAAAAATCCAGAATATAATGGAGATATTATTTTTAAAATTCTGAGATAAAAATGATTTCCAACCTAGAATCCGATACCCACTTAAAGGGGCACTGATACAATGTAAGTGGCAAGATTATCCAAGATGACCCTGAGTGCCCACACTGGGCTGCTGAGAGAAGAACCTAGTTAAGACACTGACCATCTTCCCACAGGAGGGCAACCCAAGGCCAGCCTCCCATGAGATTGGTGGCTTCCAGTGTTTGTGGGAGGGCCTCCTGGGACTACGTAGCTAGCATTCCCAAACAAGTCAGCAGGCTCCACACCCAGCACTCAGTGACCTAGATCACAAGAAGTTTGTGTGCTTCTTCACTGATAAGAAAGCTCTGAAGCACATCCTTTATTAATGGAGAACAATCAGAGATGGGGGGGGGGGGTAGTAGCTTTCCATCTAAATGCAAATCCCAGCTGAGCATTCAGCAGAACTCCTCAGCACACTTCCCTGTGAGATCACAAGGGTGATGGACTTGTGCCTTCTTTTCTTGTGTGGTCCCCTGATTTTCCAGGTTTCTTTTTCTATCTAAGGCCATGCTATATGAGGTAATAAAATTCGTTTCAAGCTCTGATAACTGAAGGGTTGTCAGCTTAAATGTATCACTTTAGTCAGTCAAGAGAAAAAAGCCCATTTTATACAGCAATAGTAAAAAAAAAAAAAAATTCATTCATGGGATATCCAAAAAAACAAACAAGAAAAGCCCCAATAACTCCCCTGTAACTTCTCAGGAAGCTGCTGGGGGAGACGCTTTAGCAAAATGAGGAAGTTCATTTCAGAAAAAAGACAACAGGGGATTCATTTGAAAAAAAGAAAAGGGATCCCACGATGACATGAATGGAGATATAAAAAGGACAGCTGTCCTGTGTTCTGGGGAGCAGCTCCTCCAGATTACCAAGGGGCCTCCAGAAGCTTAGGGTCTAAAGACATAATTACTACTCAGGAGACTCAAACTCAAAAGTATACAACAGAGAGGGAAATTTTTCTTTGAAAGTTTCTATCAAGGAACTGTGACTTAATCCAAGCTGAGATTCAGACATATTGAGATGAAAGAAGATTTCCCCACTAGGTGAAGCATTATAAGCAAAGAACCAAAATAAGAGGATAGACATATTTGAGGATTTCAAACAGCCCCGTTTGATTGAAATACAGAAAAGGAAACAAGCACTAGAAACAAGATATGCTAAAAAATACATATAACCAGATCACAGAGTTGCCTTAAATGTTATGGTAAGAAATGTGAATTTTGTTCAGAAGGAAACAGAGTATGTCTCAAAGAGCCAGGGTGGAGATGGCAGCAGTCAGAGCAGCTCTGAGCATAATGACTCAAGAGCAGGAGACTCTGGGGCTGCTGCACCTGAAATCCCTGCGCCGTGAACAGCGTCTGGTTGCCATTTAGTACTGACAGTCTGTCCACTCAAATCAGTCTGGTTTTGCTAGCTTTTGTAAAATACCTGTGGATTTGTTCGATGCTCTTCTTCTAATTTCTGTCACCATTAGTCGTGAGACTTGTGTTGTGAACTGCAGAAGATCAGAGAATTTTTCTGTCATTGTATTTGGCGGAGCGTTTCCAAAAACCTGCAGATAAGTAAAAACATTTTTAATGAAGTACTGTTAACATTTTAAAAATTCTGTAACTTTCAAAGTGTGCTATGATTTGAAAAATCAAGTCAGAGAAGTATACTTACACAGTTACTCTGGATCTAAATATGTTTAAAATATAATGCCTCCAATAAATCACACATCTTAGCCCCTTTTCCCCATATGAAATAATCTGTTGACTAAATAACCAAATAAATGAAAATTAAAAGTCAAAGATATTATTTATAAAATTTGAATCACTCTCACTAAAAGCTTTAGAAAATACAGTATTTCTCTCAAGAAACCTAAAATTCGAATTTACAGAAAAGCTGATGGTATACAGACATACTGGATGGTGAAAAAGTACAGACTAATCTATTTCTGAACTCATTTCAGAATTTCTAAATTCCAAACACAGGAATTTTCAAGTAAAATTCGTATGGAAAAGACTACAATAAAAAAAATGGATGAAAAGGTCATGAAATAAACTTGTTTTTATAAAGAATTAATACAAAGGAACTTTAGAATAAATTTCATAAAGATAAGCCAGTAAAGGCTCAGCAAAAATAAGAAAATGAAACCTGAATGAACCATCCTAGGAAAAGAAATGGTATTTTAGTGACTGCAGTATTATTTGTAAAAAGTTTTTATAGTTGCAAGGAAATTTTCTTATCTTCTAAAGCAGTATTATCCTCTCCCCTATGATATGTGTACTTACTACACAGCATTCTGTATTTTTATTACCTAGTGAAATGTCACTACAGAAGGAGGAAACAATGTACGCATCTTGGTTTTTCTCTGCCAAGCTAGCAGCACTCTGCCTTTTATAGTGGTGCTCCCCAAATATGGTGGTTTATTTATATGATGCCTGCCTCTAAATCAAATTCTAGAGACCATTTACAGAGCACTGAAGAACATGAGAACATAAGCTGAAAGTAAGAAAGAAAACAAAACACACACACCAGTAAGTAAATAAAACACCAAGGTTAAGGAGATGGACTAGAAAAAAGACTAAATGAACATCAAAGATTAAAAAAAGGTTTTGCTCACAAACTTTGGCTTAATCACCTAGTCAAGCACACCACTCACAACATCCTTATGGTAAGAAAAAATAAGGAAGTATTTCTATTCCTCTTACTGTAGTAGTCCCCCCTTATCTACGGGGTATGTCCTAAGAGCCCCAGTGAATACTTAAACCACAGATAGCATCACATAAAACTCTACATATACTATGTTTTGTCCTATACATACTTGCCTATGATAAAGTTTAATTTATAAGTTAGGCACAGTAAGAGAATAACAGTAACTAATAATAAAATAGAACAATCGTGATAACATACTGTTTACAACTTCACGGATAGATTTGTTCTTATCATAGATCTTAGCAACCTCAGCATAGGATTTTTGATGAGAACTTTCACTTAAAGAAAGTACTTCTTTTTTGGCATGTCCAAATTGTCAGCAACACCACTCTTATGCTCTGGAGACAGCATTAAGTAAACTACAGGTTTCTGGAACACAAGCACTGTGAAGCCAGCAGCTGATCTGATAGACAAGACCACGGCCAAGTGGCAAGTGCGAGGCTGTCCTACACAGCACGTGCTGCTGCACAGAAGGAGGAGCCACGCCCCAGAGGGACACAGCTGGGTAGCATGTGACTTCGAACCTATGGATGACTTATTTTTGGAATTTCTCATTTAATATTTTTGGATCACGGGTGACCATGGCTATTTGAAACCATGGAGAGCAAAACTAAAGATACAGGGTGGGGGAACTATTACATAGTACTTCTTAAAATTCCTTCCAAAGATCCTAATAAAAATGGTGTAACAAATGATACCCTTTAAATAGAAATTGTTTTTCATATTCTTATAACAGATCCTATATTCTTTGTAACCTCCCTCAAATTATATTGAAAATACTAAAATAATAAATTCTACAAGGGTATATGCTTTGTCTGTGTACCTAGTCTGTTCATCAACTTGACAAAGGAGTAAATTTTAATAATCTCTAAGAACATATAAAACTGCACTTTTCAAGAATTCATCAGTATGTTTTCTCTGCTGAGATTTTGACAAATGTTGTGTGCCTACATGCAATCTTATGTCACCTGTTAAGAAGACTCACATTCTTAAAAAAGCCGTAGATAAAAATTGAGGAGCCTACTGATACATTCTTGAATAGACATTCTACCTGCACTCAGAGAAGAGTATGTGAATTTTAATGAAGGTGTTTATAAGTATTTCTATTACTCGGAATACATGAAAATATATTTTTCTCCCCAGAATGAAGACGTATTTTATTCCAAAGTTATTAAAAGAACTTTGTAAAGTTAATAGCTCATTTTGTGGACAGTTGTAAGGATATCTCAACAGTCTTCTGGTGGGTAAATAATATACTATTGAAATGCCACTAACTTTTCACACAATCCTGATATTTACTGCTTTACTTCTGTAAAGAAATTTTTTCAAAAGATTAATAAAATTGCCTTGGATTGACCAACCAAAAGTGAGTACTATAGAAAAAGGACTATGCCATATTTGCTTATCTGAAACAAACAAAAATTGTTTCTTTAACAATATAAAGAATATTTAGTCTAGTAAGCGAACACTATTGATTCATTCATTCATTTATTTATTCACTTAAAAATATTTATTGACCTCTTATTACATCTGCCAGGCAATGTTCTAAGGGTGATCGATACACAGGTAAATAAAGCAAATGTGACTACTGTGCTCATGCAGATTACATTTAAGTACACAAGCAACTGGTAAATAAATTAACTGAAAATTTAAAATTATGTAAAGGCAGTGATATGTTATGAAAGAAGTAAAACAAGGTAATTGAAATAGAATGCCTGGGGTGGGAAGAAAGCTGTCACAAAAGATCTCTGTGGGGAAATGACACTGGTGCCAAAGGACGGTACTGAATGATGAGAAACAGCTATAACTCAAAGAGACAGAGAGGGATCCAGGCAATGAGAACAGAGCTGTGCAAAAGACCTCAGAGTAAGAATGAGATTGAGGTGGTTGAGGAGCTGAAAAGAGGCAGATAAAGCTGCGGCATTTTGTGTAAGAGGGGCCTTTGTAACAAGGCAAGGCTGGAGGGGCACAGGGACTAGCACATGAACCCCACATTTTAGGTAATCCTGAATGATGAATGAAGTTCTATTTTTTGTAACTGACTTCGATAATTAAATTTAAAAATATTAGGTATGTTTTCATCACCTTCAAGAAACAGTGGCATTTCTTGAAAATACATAATACAACGCTTCCATCGTTTACATAAATGTTTGTAAACAGGAGACTTTGATCTACTTCTCACTCTCAGAGACTACTGACTACTGGTCAAATTTTTCCATTTCTTAGTTTCATTATCTGTTGAGAGCAAGCACTGGGCAAGAGAACTGGTGACACATTCAACTCAAATGGATGATTCTATAACAGATATGTGACACTCATAACAGACTTAAAAAAAAAAAACAGTACTAAGGAACAAAAATGCCTTCTAGCAAATTCTCTAAAAATAACAATTACCATATAACAAGCATTAAAAATGTACCCAGAACTATTCAAATACTTGTCATGTCATTTAAATCTCATAAAATCCTATAGAATAGGTACTGTTAGTATCCTCATTTTACAGATAAGTAAATTAAGGGTTGGAATAGTTAAAACAGGAGGTGGTTGAAGCAGAATTGAAAACTAGGTCTGAAAAAAGCTAGAGGGAGGCAAGATGGCCAAATGACACCAGCTTTCAGTAGAGGCTCCATCCAGAGGGAGAAATAATGGCCAGAAATAACCCAATAACCAATAGAGTGGAAGCTGGAGAGCTGAGCTGAGAGAATCATTAGGTTCGCATCACCCCTGCTGTGACAAGCTGGGACTCCAAGGAAACAAATTTCAGGTACAAGACTCATCCCAAAGAGGATGGGAATCCTTCCCCTCCCCACTCCATCCCCACCCCCACCCCCACCCCCAGGAGAGCAGTTTGAGGCAAGTAGAGAACAGAGGAACTTTTGTTTTACTATCAGGGCCAGGACTCTCTCCACGGAGAAATACTGCTGCAAGCCCAGGAAGTCTCCTGCCTTGTGGGTCCAGTGGTTGGGACCCACGCTACCAACCACTGGGGAACACAGCCCACCGGATCCCCAGATAGGCTCACTGCCAGGCTATGGCAACCAGTGGCCGCAATGGCGACTCCTACCCAGCTCTTGTGACCTGTAGCCTATGGTCAGTGACTCCCGCCAGGCTCCTGTGACCCACAGCCCCAGGCTGGAGACTCCTACCCAGCCCCTGCAACCCATGGCCCTTGGCCTGCGACTCTTGCCTGGCTCCTGCAACCTGTGCAGCCTACCTCCAGCGACTCTGCCCTTTAGCTCCCCGCCTGCCTCCTGAAACCCACAGCCCACAGCCAGCTTCCTACTTGGCTCCTGTGGCCTCGGGGGTCAGCAGCTCCACCCTCTGGTTCCCGGGAAGACCAGCTCCTGTGACCCTTGCAGCCAGCAGCAACACCCTCCAGCTCCCCTCCGACTCCTGTGACCGGCACACAGCTGTACCCCAGACCTGCGACACCACCCCAGACAGTGGCATTGCCTTCCCAACAGTAGTGACAGCTCCACGGTCCCTCCCACTACAGACAAATTGAGCTGCCAGTGGACCACCACTAGCTAGATGCCGAAGACCTTTTGAACTTTCTCATATGATCAGTGTTTGTGTTGACTGGGACAACTGGTTTGGAAGGCTTGACCTGGGATGTTCACCTGGGGACCCACAAAGGTTGTATCTTGGTTGTGTTGTTGTGGGATTCTCCTCTTACAGTTGTTGTCTGTGGGGCTGAGAGGGTCCTAGTTGCTTATATATCTCCACAGCTGAGATTTCAGTCCAAAGCCACTGATTCACTAGGATTGGACAGAGACTAGCTGAATACCATCAGCGCCATCTAGTCCCACCACACAAAGCAGGTCTCCAGAGTTTCAGACCATTGTAAAGCTCTGA